GCTAGCCACGGCTAGCTAGCTAGCCACGGCTAGCTGGCTAGCCACGGCTTGCTAGCCACCGCTCAGTTAGCTAGCTGCAATGGCTAGCTAGACGCACGTAGCTAGACGCACCCAGCGAACCTCAGCTAGCTAGCCACAGCTAGCCACAGCTAGCTAGCCACAGCTAGCTAGCCACCGCCAGCTAGCCACAGCTAGCTAGCCACAGCTAGCCAGCCACCGCTAGCTAGCCACAGCTAGCTAGCCACAGCTAGCTGGGCACGGACAGGTAGCCGCAGCTAGCTAGCCACAGCTAGCTAGCCAAGCACCCAACGCCTTCTAGCTGGGGTCACCGCCAGTAGTTTGCTGCTGCGCTGCTGCTGCTCGAGAAGCAGCAAAATGTGTTTTGCTGCAGCACTTCGTGCTGCTGCGGCAGCGGCCGCAGGGGGGGACGTGGCTGTTGCTGCTGCTGCTGCTGCAGCAACAGCAGCAAAATTTTTCAAAGGTTGGTCTGTATCTAGTGAAGCAGATGCATTAAAGGCAAAACCTAGCGTTTTAGTCTTTGCTGCTGCAGCAAGCCGTAGTTTGCTGCAGCAGCAAGCGGTGGGTTCCTGCAGCAGCAAGTAGTTTGCTGCAGCAGCAGGCGGTAGTTTGCTGCAGCAGCGAGCAGCAGTTTGCTGCAGCAGCAAGCGCCAGCTTCGTTTGTAGGGCTGAGCAAACAGCAGCAAGCTGCAGCATCAGCCCACAGCAGCAAGCTGCGTCAGAAGCGTACAGCAGCAAGCTGCAGCAGCAAGCTGCAGCAGCAGCCCACAGCAGCAAGCTGCAGCAGCAAGCTGCAGCAGCAAGCTGCAGCAGCAGCCTACAGCAGCAAGCTGCAGCAGCAGCCTACAGCAGCAAGCTGCAGCAGCAAGCTGCAGCAGCGAGCTGCAGCAGCAAGCTGCAGCAGCGAGCTGCAGCAAGTCAGTGTCCCTGCGTTTGAAATGAAGTCAAATACAAAAGACGTTAGAGCTGCCTCGGGCTGCGTCCACGCAGCCTGTGCTGCAGCAGCAGCAGCAGCAGCTGCAGCAGCAGCAGCAGCAGCTAGCTGCGAATGTGGGTGAAGTTCTGGTGGCCAGTTGCTGCTGCATGTTCTCTTACGGCTTTATTGTCCCTTAAAAGGGCCCCACAAAGGAGACACCTTGTGAGCATGCCTCCCGCAGCAACGAAT